TGCACAAGCATAAATTAGGTTTCTCTTTTAACTAAGTACAGATGGTGCCCTGGATACAGCTTGATCAACTAAGCAAGAAAAGCATTTCTTCCACATTCTTCCACCAAATCTGTAACTCAGTCAACTAAAATCGGGAAGTGGGGGGCAAAAGTAACATTTAATTTAGGTTGGAATTTTTTTTAATTATCACATGTTCTAAATAATAATGGAATACATAGAAGTTAATGCCACTTAACTTTTACCAGCAGGTTAGCTGCCTCACTTTCAATCCTACTTTACTGCTGTGATACTGACTGATATTTTAATCATGAAATCTACTCATCTATTGATTCTATGTCTTATGTGAAATGTAGTTTTATTAGACTTCAACAAATCACTTGATAAGGCAGGCACCAGAGGGTTGAATGTCTCAGTGAAGATCTGTGTTTGAATCCCAGTCTTTGCTGATGTTTGCACTTAGATTCCCCTAGGGATAGTATTCATCAGTCTTGGCTGAGTGGCTGAGTCTTTTAGGGAAGGCAGGGAAAGTGGATGGAGGGGACCTCTTTCTTCTTCACAAACACTTAATAGGTCAAACTACAAGGAGAATTTACAGTGGTTGAGAAGTTAGGAGAAAAATAAAAATATGATGGTTACATATTTTTAAAAGAGATGAAAACAACACACCAAATGTACAAGTGTAACTACAATGAATGTACTGCATGAAAAGCTATCAGCCTTTTCTTATCTTTGACCGAGTTGGCATGGTCTTTGTCTCAGCTGGAAACAAGGAATACAAAAAAAGGCAATGATATATGAAGAAATCCTGTGGAAGGCCTAATACTGAGCCAATATTATGAGAAACTGCTCAGCAGGCCAAAGGTGCACAAATTTTGAAATGTGCCTGTGCTGTATACCAAGAACAGCAACTTAGAATCATTGCTGTTATCATCCCCAGTGGAGAAGCACTCAAGTGTCAAGTTTCTGTCATGAACTCATTTTTGATTTGCTCAACTTGAGCTTTGTAGCTTTCGGCTCACAGAAATGTTAGCTGCTGAGCATGCACAGACCATGATCTTTAAGATTGCCTTATGACTCAGTTGGGGACTTGTAAAATGCTCTACAAACTTTTCCCTCTATATTTGCCTTCAGAGTACCATACATGGGCACTGCCTACACCAATCATTATATACTTACAGCTAATTGTTAGAGTTAGATACCAATCAATCGAAAGAAAACACGACGATGATGAAATCACCGTAAATTAGATAATTATTTGGGGAGGACAAGTTTGCAGGGCTGTGGGGAGAGCGCGGGCAGTGGGATTGAATTGGATAGCTCTTTTCAAAGAGCCGGCACAAACACGATGGGCCGAATGGCCTCCTTCTGTTCTGTATGATTCTATGATAAGTAAATCCATTTACATTATATTAAATACAGAAACAGGATTTTCATTCACATCATACTTTTATTATGTTGAACACCAGCAAACCATTATAATTAAACAAACACATTTCATCACATCTTAATGATTTCACTCAGATTCCCAAATAAATCATGTATATTGCTAGCATAAAGCAAGTTAATGTTGTTTAAGTAATATGCAAACATCCCATAAAATCCAGACTCAATATTTTAGGCAAAATGATCACAATTCAATGTTTGATAAATCTACTATATTCATAAATTCTTGTATGCAATACTTGACAGACAGATGTACCATCAATATGAATCAGCATTTTTTGGTTCATATATATTGCACAGCGTTCTCAGAGGCAGTAAAATACACTATTAAAGCTGTGGTTCAAGCCATCATTATTAAGATCATAAGATAAAGTTTGAATGAAGTGAAGCTCAACCCTCCAGAATGTTTAATCATTCATACTTCCCTTTGCCACATCAATCTGTTTCTTAAATTAATCAATTTTCCTGCCTTCTAGCTCATGTTTACATGTTGTGTAAAAACATACTTCCTGGTGCCTTTTAGAAACTTGGCCTTTACAACCATGAGTTCATATATTATTCTGTTAAACTGGAATATTTAAAAATATTGTTTTGGGAATAAGCAAGTTTAAAAAAAACACAGCAACACAATTTTAGATTCCAAATGGAAGTTATAGTAAAGCAGTATGTAATGCTATTTTTATATTAGTAAAATGTTATTGCATGTACAGGTAGATGCAAATTTCGAGTTTTGTAAATAGTATTCCTTATGCAAATGATTATCATTAAATCATAATACAGGCAATAACCTGTGAAAGTGCTGTCCTGACATTATTATTTTGTTCACCATATCATCTACTGCCCTCACAGCACCTATGGATTCTCTTTTGCATATCAACAATCTTCTTGTAAAAATCATATTTTGCAAAATATAATGTTATAATATTGTAAATGTACACATGTAAAGAAAGGACTGGGGTACAAATATTGCAAATAGATTTTTTTCAGCAAACTAAAAAATTCTGATCTAAATATGACAACTTTGCAAAAATGTATTTTGTCAGGGCTCATTTATACTAATGGGTGCACTACATGAAATCTTTAATTAAACAACCTTGTAAAATGTTTTTATTTGCTGCTCTGTGTTAGACCAATTGCACTTTTTTTCCCTTGGAATGATGAAATCAATGATAGTTATTCTAGCACTAATTAGGTTAATGTGAGTTTTGCATAATCCAATCTAATATTCATACCTGCATCAAAGACCGATTTGTTTCACTTTTTCTGGGCTTTTAATAAGATTTTCTAAAAAAAACGTAATCATCTTCAAATACCTTTTTATTATGAATTTTATGGTGGAAGTCCAGTCCATTGTTATCCAGTAATTCACCTTTTATGGACTGGAATTAAATACGTATTCTCTTGGCACATAAAATCACTTAACCATAAGAATAAATAAGATAAACGCTTGGTTTATACACAGTATAAAATGTACCCAGCACTATATAAGTAATGCATATCAATCATAATCACCAACAAGTTATGTTTTTCCATTGGACTCAGTCATACAAATTGACGTCTGGGATTTAATCCAGATCACCTCCCACCTCCACATAAAAGTACACGCTGGAAGAGTGTGGTTGTAATGTAATAGACTACATAACTATATAAACTCAGGCTTCTGCTTACATTGAGAATTGATTTACCATATGATGCTCATCTACTAAATTCAAAGTTGAAAACGTTAACATTCTAATAGGTAGTTAAGCCTCCTCAAACCCCTCAAACTTGTACTGGTGTGCTCTGTGGTTGTATCAGAATGCTGCTGGTACAGAGTGTAACTTTGTGCTTTCACCTTCAAGATAATACTCGTACCACTACCAAACTAATTCAATTTTCTTAACATAGACTGTTATAGACATTGGAGTCAGTAATCGATTGGGTCATGTCAGTCATCATTGGGTCATCATTCCACAGAACATTATAAAATACATTTAGACATCTAATGATCACAGAGAGCAGTCTACTTGATTAAGTCTCCCCCCACCCCCACCCCCCTTAGATTAAAGTGATAGGCCAATGATATAATTGTAATAAATTGCAATTGCAATAGGTATAGTGCAAGTATTAATGATGCAACTTGTTACACATTAGTTGTTATTTAGTTATTTAATTTTCATTTAGTCATGTACTGTAATAAAAAATGAGTTTTAATTAAAAGTGATGAAGTATAATTTCATGCATGCTGTTGATAAATATTACATCAGTTAAATCCAACATTGCTATAAAGCGCTATTCAAAAATGAAAACATTAAAATTATGATGTATAATTTGTATCACTATATAGTATAAATATTTTGTAGAACAAGCAAAAAACATTGGCATTGAAAAACTATAATATACTGTTACAATTCCAATATCTAATATATATGGCTCGTGGTTATGCATCCTATTTATCCCAAGGGATAAAATTAAATGGTTAAAGTTAGATAAAATGATTACATGATAATCAAATAGATGCTTCTGGTGATATCACTGTCAAACATTTTTTTCATTCTTATCTATTTTTAATTGTGAGATTATCTCCATACATTATTAAAATATTGCAAGGAGACTGTGATATGAAAAGTATTTATAATGGAAAAAGATCAATACTAAAAATTCTGGCTCAAAGAATAAACATTTAATTGTCATCCTCATCCTCACCTGGCTCCATTGACTCCTGAACTGTATCACTCAGAGGATACAGTTCAAGATCCTGATGCTCACCTTCAAAGCCTTCATGGCCTTGCTCCTCCCTACCTTTGTGACCTCTTAACCCTCTACCAACCTATCTGCTTCCTCCGCTCAGTGAGCTCCGGTCTGCTTCACATCCGTGTCTTGCCCTCCCTGCCATTGGAGGGCAGGCCTCAGCCTCTCTGCCCCCACCTTCTGAAACTCCATCCCGCAGTTGCTCCAATTAGCCCCCTCCCTTGCCTCCTTCAAGACCCATCTCAAGACCCTCCTCTTCGACTGTGCCTTCGTTCACTCTCCTCCCCACCCTCCTGATCCCTGCCACCAACTCGGATACGGATTCCTGACTATCTAGTGTCTTAGGACCTCTTCATGATGTGAAAAGCGCTATACAAATGTAATTTGTTCTTGTGTCAACACATTCTAAACATGTAGACAAGAACCATATAACCAATACAGTTTTGGGGGGCTTTCAAAGCTCTCGTATCGTTTTGGTTAGCTTGTGGATGGTTTATATAAGAATTATCAAATTTAACTTGAAAGCTACCAACATATCACTGTTGTCAATAGTTACAGATCAATTATTGATCTCTGTTTCATTTTACAGTCCCCCCCCCCCCCCACACACACACAAATTATTTGTTAATGCTCTTTCGTTATCAAAATCAGAGTTGATATTCTCATTCTTGCCAACTCTCAGTAAAGGAGATAGATATTTATTGTTCTAAATAGAAAACAATAATGTAAAAGCCAGCAAAGAGACCCTGCTGGTCTTTCGGTTGTTTGAATTGTGTTTCAACGAACTTTCCATGTGGATTTTCAGCTCCTCATTCTGTGATAACTTGTCACACTAAATTGTTCCTACAATTCAGTCGTAAAGACGCCTTAGAAACATCAGTAGTCACGGTGGACAATGGGAAATGGTCGTAATCCTCGTCAGCACTTCTACATTTGCATCGCAGGATGATTGATTTCACTTCATTTTTGAAGTTGTTATTCAGGAAACCGTAGATAATGGGATTCACGCAAGTAGACGACATGGCTGCTAAATGGCACAAAGAAAAGATGAGATTATGTTGGTTGTGTAGCACTACTTCGAGATCCCAGTCCACAATGGTATTAAATACATTCAATGGCAGCCAGCAAAGGCCAAATGCAACAACCAGAGAGACGAGCATCATATTTATTCTTCTGCTGTTTGTCAACCTACGATTGTCCTCACTTCTTCTGTCCATCATGTCCCTCCTTTTCCTTAACCTCATGTATATTCTAATGTAGCACACTGCAATGAAAGCCAGTGGTGCCCCATACTGAACAACCAGCAGCCAAGTGGTGTAGACCAGTTTTTCTTTACGTGATGGCCACGACTCTGCGCAGATTGCTTTGTCGGCCAGAGATGTGTTGAAAATGAAAAGGTTCTTGTAAAGTTCATCTGTTAAAATGTGGAAAGCCACAAAAGGCAGGGAAACCAAGCAACCCAGCATCCAGATGATCACCACCGCCAGGTAAGCTTGGGACACACTGGGTTTCCAGCCGGTAGGGTTTATAATGAGCTGATGCCTTTCCAGGGCGATCATGACCAAGGAAAGAATGGATACTGTCACTGACATACACTGTATAAAAGGAGTCATCTTGCAGAAGACTTCACCGAAGATCCAGTGGTCCATCAACGTGTAGACCACCGTAAAAGGGAGGCAGAAGGTACACACCATGATGTCTGAGAAAGACAGGTTGGCAATGAGGATGTTGGTGACATTGGCTTTCTCTTTCTGTCTTGCTATCACGTAAATCAGACAGATGTTTCCCAGTAAGCCCATTGCCATCACGGTGCAGTAAGACACCACTAAGAAGAAGGTGAGTGCGGTTGACGTTCGCCAGGGATTCTCGAAGAAGTTCTGCAAATCTGAAGCATTGAAGGGAACGGAGTAGTTAGTGTACCGGAGAACGGGACCACCTTCCATGTCAGCACATTAACACCTTCTGTCCAGAGGTACTTACGCGAGTTCGAAATAGTGTACAAGCAAAAGGTTGGGAAAAGCAGAGAGTTGGGACAGGCGAACACTGGTGTCAGTCTGAAACCATCACTGAACGGGCACAGCTGTACCTACAACCCCGGACACCATCTCAGGGTTGACAGCAAAACTGACTGTACAATCACCTGGAAAATAAATCACAGTACCTTCTGGGTTATTGGCGAGAAGCGAAGATTTCAATCACTGACCCATACATGAACAGACTTTAATGCCTGCAATTGAAAATACAGTATACATTAGTTTGTACATACGGCACAATAATACGATTCGGAATTCAGACTTCATTTCCAGAATATCAGATATCCTAAAATCTGTAAGTCCCGAGTGCCCAATAGTTCCGACTATTCATCACAGTCACTTGTACTTGATTTTTTTGCTGAAGTGAGTGCCTCGTCCCGTCCTGAGCAGCAGATTAATGCAGAGTCGGTGCTGTTCACTGGGTCCTTGTTAAATATTAACCGAAACACTTGGTTTGGAGCTCTTAATCGATCAATTAAACAGCGCAAACAGCTCTGTATCATCCTCTTCGTGGCATTGCAAGGACTCAATCGCTGCTTCGGTGTTTACTTGGAAAACGAAGAGGTTGTTCCATGTCCTGGTGGAGTGTTGTATGTGAAGCGAATGGTCCAGCTGCCCCGTCATCTCTTCTGGGGAACACAGGAGCAATTGCAGGCAATCAGGGCAATTGGGTTTAGCTGTGATCGGTGACACCCAATCTTTCTCCAGATCCATGTGCTGTTGAAACCGTGTTGGACGAACAGAACACACTGCATACGTATGTAAATGTCTGTATGTCTGTCTCTCTCTCTCTGTGTGTGTGTGTCTGCTCAGCCTCCATACAAGAGTGCCCTCTCTCGAAATGCAAAGTTATTAGAATTATTTCGGGTTTATTAAAAGATCAGTGAAGACACGAGGCATCTATATTGCTTTACACGCCAAAAATCTTAAACAGGCAAAGCTTCAAGGCATTCAGCACGCTTTCATTCTTCAGTAAATTCTAAAATATGCATCTGCTGAAACTTCTCTCTCTCTCTCTCTCTCTCTCGTTATCTGTGTTTGCATTACAGCGTGCATTGCGTGCAGATAAACAGCCAAATTAATCCAAACGCTTCCCAATAGCATTGATATCATTGCTTCATCTGCATGCAGCTACGGGGACATTAGCTTTGGTACTAAATATTACGGATGATTGACTTGTAAAGATACCGGAAAGCATTCAGAAAATATTTCTCTCTCTCTGTTGGTCACTATGACCATAGATACAAAAAATCCAGCGCTAAATGTGCTCGATTAACAAATGCAGGATGAGTACAATTTGCCATTGAACCTGTCTTACTTATGAGGGTCATAGGAGATTTAAGTATCTAATCGGTAAAATGTAGTGTGATGTGAAACATTAAATATCTCCATAATAAGCAGTTAACAGGGTCATTACTGCATATAATGCAGGAAATGCGTCTGGGCTGCGGAGTGGCTTGTTATAAGGCATGTTCCATTTGGGCTGCTTTAACTTCATTTTAAAAATCTATTTGTATTTAATATTTGTTGATTTATTTTTGATCAAGCTTTTTTTAAAAAAAAAAGACTACAGCTTTGTGTGTGGGAATCATTAGACTGTATATGGTACTGTACTTACATTGGAAATAGATTTGGAACCAATAGAGTCAATCAGAGTTATTGCATTAACCATTGAACAAACATGAACTTAATCTTAATTGAAGACTTACCAGCGAGATCCAATGATGTTTCTCAATTGATAATGACTTACTGTGCAGCCGAGTGGTATGACAGAACCTTTTTCTTATGATTACATACATGACCACTTCCAAATAACAACTGTTGGAGATGCATTGAGCAGAGGCTGTAATACTATTTATTCTCTGCAGTACTAGATACAGTGGAAAATCAAACAAATGCAAACAATAACAATTCTAAGATATACATGTCTTATATTATGAAAACCTTTACATAATGAGAGCCTTTTAATATTTTATAGTTATCAGTTGTCGGTGTACTTGCACCATTGTTGCCCATCAGCAGTATAATTATACTTAATCTGATTCTGTATTTGTTATTAGCATTTATCTTAATAAGTTTATAAGAAATCTTGCATACTACAATTTGAAGACAATAACACCAAATGAAATTATATAAGAATAATCATTGCATTTAATATAGTACCTCATCACATCTTTGAGACATCGCAAAGCACTTTACAGAATGTATCGTACAGAGAATTGACTGTGGAGTCCTGTAGCTCAGTGGTTAGAGCACTCGCTTTGCAAGCGAGAGACCTGAGTTCAATTCCAGGCAGGGCGAAACCTTGGGCAAGCTTCCTTACTCCACACAGAGCTTAATAATAATCCCTCCAAAACCAAAAACAATAATAAATTGGTCATTTTCAATCTACGACTGTCTGTGGGGCATTGCTGTGCGCAATTGGCTGCCGCGTTCGCCCACAAATATACAGTCAATTCACTTTACAGTGTGTTCTGTGAAGCGCTTTGGGACGTCCTCCCGACGTGAAAAGCGCTATATCAAATGCAAGGATTATTATTATTATTATAGTTTGCGTCAGCCAATTACACATAGGAATGTCCCACAAACAGTCGTGGATTGAGTGACCAAATAATTTTTTTTGAAGTGATTATTACCCGCGAGAAAGCGAGCCACCAATCAACTAACAACTGGGTTCCTATTTACTGCTAGATGAATAAAGGAGTGTGGAGTAAGGAAACTTGCCCAACGTTTCGCTTTACCTGGGAATCAAACCTTGCAATCAAATCAAAAGCTTGCGAGACGAGGCTTCTAACCGTTAAGCTACAGGACACTATATGAATGAATGTGTGAACCATCAGCCTTATGTTATTTGGCATTCTTTCAAGCTGTTGTATGCTTCTTTTTGCTGCTTTTTGATACTCATTGAGTTCAGTGGAGAAAGTAGTGAATGGCCTACTTTACACTTACTTTATTCACATGGTAGACCTGGTAGATTTTCAGACTTCTTGAAATACTTTGCTATGAAGCCAAGAATCAGTAGCTCATCAAAATATCAGGTAAGTATGAAGTTCTGGCAAGTCCTTGAGCTAAAAATTATTGCATGAGCCAGAAATGTTTTTACAACAAACTCATGAATTAATATAGATTCATGGTCTTTGTAAATTCCATTACTTCAGATAAAAAATGTAAAATGTTCCAGTTACTGAAATGTTGCCACCATTCAACAGGTTACATATTTTTGAAAGTTCTTGATAATAAATTAGGGTTCCTGGACATATTTATATTTTTATCTTTTAAATAATTGCAACAATTACTAATTTATGTACAAGGGGGGAAAATCGTCACCTTTGACATCTATAGATTCCCTCACACTCTATTTCCTAAAAGTCTATTTTGCTAAAAAAAAATCTATTTTGCTTTTCTTCTATAATTTTGATTCAAATTCCCAATGCAAACAAANATTTTATTTCTGAGAAGATTGGCTTGTGATCATTATCACAATATCTTTTTTATTATAGAACAAACAAGTGTAGAAATGAAAGACATGTCTCTGTTTATATGGATTGCTTTTATATTTAGCTCCTTTGCTAGGCAACTAACTAATTCGTTTTTAAAATTTCAGGCAGTAATGAATCTTCTTGTTTATTGCAGATTCTGTTGCAGCTACGTTACTTATCCCAGCAGTAGTCCATTGCTGCAGCTAGTGTGAACCATTTTAAAGCTGCAGGAGTTTAATTGCTTAATACCAGTGTTCTGGGGAAATGGGATTTTCTTTCACATTCTGTCCCCTATTGGAAATAAATGGATGAAGAAAAATTTCATTAGGTCTAATTCCTTCACATTTCAGAGCATCCAGAAATTGGAAAATTGTTGAATTCAGTCTTAACTTTGATGCTGGTTTGGTGTAGTTGTTAAAAAACTTACAAAAAACTGACTTGAAAATTAAGATTGCATTTAAAAAGTTCCCAAATTCTAGATACAGAGAGTACATATAGACCCAATGGGAATTCTATCCTAAAATGTTTTAGAAGAAGATTTGTATGAATAACTTTATCCTGATGCACTGAAATTCTGACCCCCACCTCCTGGAAAAAGATTCTGCCTAGCTATTCTGTAAACCCCATAGATAATTCAGCAAAACTTCCAAAGTGAATAGAATTGAATTGAATCCATTTAATAATTAGCATGAAAATTAGAATTCCAAATGTTCTAAAAAGCACATAAAAGTACATTATCTTTAGACTGCCAGTAAAATAAGATTGGATTTAAAACACAGATGTATTACTTATTTTACAAATTTCTGAAGCAATGTTAGACATATTCTGCCATCTTCAGTACAGTATTTACACTGCAACCTAAAATAATTGCAAATTCATTGTTTTTTTAACTTCTCTTTGGAATCCTATAGCTTAGTGGTTAGAGCACTCACCTTGCAAGCAAGAAGACCTAGGTTTGATTCCTGGGCAGGGCGAAACATTGGGGAAGTTTCCTTACTCCACACGCCTCTGTTCACCTAGCATTAAGTAGGAACCCAGTTGTCAGTCTATTGGTAGGTTGCTTTTCCGGGGGTAATAATCGCTTTAAAAAAAATAGTTTTGGTCACTCAATCCATGACTGTTCATGGGATACTGCTTTGTGCAATTGGCTGCCACATTTTGCCCACAAAATATACAGTCAATTCACTTTACAGTATATACTGTGAAGTGCTTTGAGATGTCTCAAAGACGTGATAAGGCACTATATCAAACGCAAGGATTATTATTATTATGTATTTATTTCTTACAACAACTTACACTTATATGACAGCCTCCACACAGGGTAGTGTCTCAGAGCCTGACTCCCGAGTGGGTGGAGGTGGCCGTAACCATGGTCGAAGAGGAAGTTCTTCAGGCGGGTCTTGAAAAAGGGGGGAGGGAGCAAGGCAGAGGGATTGAAGGAGAATGTTCCAGAGTTTCGGGGCATAGTGGCTGAAAGCGGGACCTGTGTTAGTGGGGGTGGAGGGTGCGAGGGATGAGCAGCAAATGGATTTGAACACAAATTCTTCAAATCTTGGTAAGTAAACATTAAGGGGTGTTGTGTTTCAGACATTATTTGATTTTCTCAAAATAACTGCTCTCTTTCTAATGCCACTCTTGTTATAAACTAGTAACATTTATTTTAGATTAGAAAGAACTACAAATTGATCTTTCTTTGAAATTTGTCAGAATCCTGAACCATTAAAACACATAATGTTGACAAATATTACTTTAGGCTGTATTAGAAACACTATGCTAGTTGATGTGCAATCTACAAAAAAAAGGTAATTGAGATATTGGACAATTTTCTGATGCAGGTTTTAATTTGGGAATTGCATGTTCTGTATAAGTGAATGCCTTTATTGCCAGCTAAATATGTGATTATGTTTGCATTTTTACTAAACGTTACAGTTATTTTTCTGGAGCTGTGTTCTGTTGAGTGAAGTGTGAACAGGTGATTTCTGTTAAAAGGAGAATTTTGCTGTTGAACAATGCACTTTCTTTTCACAGGTTATGCTTGTTAGCTAACTTCAACCTAACAATGGTAAATCTTTCCCTGAAATTTCAGGTAGACCATACTATATTATCACCTAATGCCAGCCACAGATATCCTCAACAAGGTTCCTGATCATTTCAATGTCGGCACTATGGTATAGCAACTAACATTGACATGGATACTGTACAATAAGAGGATCAAAGACGCACAATTCAAGATGCCAAGACACATGTTTTTATTCCTTATTATAAATTATTTCTCTCACCAGTCACAGTATAACTTGTTCATAAATGAGGTCACAGCAAGACATGCTGAAAGGATTGTTATAAACGAAGACTTTACAGTGGATAGAATATTCCAGCAGGTAAACTAAAAGCTCATTATTTTTGTCTGCAAACTTGATATCTATATATTTGCAAAAAGGAAAACATCAATGCTTATCATATTGAAAAATCTGGCACATAATGAGTGAAGTGCTAAATAGCAGAGTTACTTTGCAGAAATCAGCAACATTTTATAAATAATAATAATAATCCTTGCATTTGATATAGCGCTTTTCAGGGCAGGAGGACGTCCCAAAGCGCTTCACAGAACATACTGTAAAGTGAATTGACTGTATATTTGTGGGCGAACGCGGCAGCCAATTGCGCACAGCAATGTCCCACAGACAGTTGTAGATTGAAAGTGACCAATTTATTATTGTTTTGTTTTGGAGGGATTATTATTAGACGTGTGGAGTAAGGAAACTTGCCCAAGGTTTCGCCCTGCCTGGAATTGAACTCAGGTCTCTCACTTGCAAAGCGAGTGCTCTAACCACTGAGCTACAGGACTCCACACATTTATAATAGCGATATAGACCTGAGAATAACAGGAACTGGGAATGAGACGCAATGCAATAATTTAATCTAACTAAAGGGTAATTCTCTAATCACTGGTAAATTTACCGATTTCAGTGGGTTGATGTATCTCTATACCAGAAGGGGAAATTTACCAATTGTGGCATCATGAATTTATATTAAGAAAATCCCACCAATGTCAGTATCCATTTAGAGAATGTTTTTGGATATTAGGCAAACACCAGGATTGAATTACTTCCACAAATTCATAAAGAAGAGTTTTGCTATTCTTTTAATTATGCTGTTTATTCTTATTTTAAAAGAGGGTTGAAACGCTTACCATGACAGGAAAGTCAGAACCTCACATTCTAACCTGCGGCCATTCAAGAGATGCTCACATTGTACCAATTCTGCTTTTTACTTGTAGAAAGAGAGAATTGATCTGGTTTATTGATTCAGTGCCTTGGGACGTCCTCCCGTGAAAGGCGCTCTATAAATGTAATTCTGTTGTTGTTATTGTTGTTCACTGATCGTTAATTTGCATACTTCAGCAGTACACGGAGTAATGGCTAAAAGTCTGCCAATCAAGTCAAGTAACTCTGGTTATCAAGAAGCTCTGATTCAAGCACTGTTAAAGATTAGTTAAGATGATTAAAATATTTTATATGGAAGATTTAGAGTCAGAAGAAGTTAATTATAAGTGCTCAGATCTAACAGCAGTTGTAACCTCAGGCACTTAAGAGAATGGACCAAAGATTTTCTAAGTTGCATTTGTTGATTATTTACACACAGTGCTGCATCACAACAAAATAAACTGTGACCTCTCCTTTCAGTTTTTTTAAAGAAGCAGAACTACAACTGAACCAGCTTGAACAATGTAAGTTATGTTGAAAGATATTTTACTATTCCCTAAAAATGGGGGGGAATGAGAGCTTGTAATCATATCTGAACTGACTCTGCACTCTCAACAGAATAGATAGCTCTCAATGTTTCATTGTAATATCAGTTCAAAGAAGGTTGCAATTCAAACTTGCTGAAAGTGCCACAATATTTATTTTAATCGTGAGCAAGTGATGGAAGATGTAATTCTTTTTCTCTGTAATTGTTTCGCTGTGGCATCCAGTTCATAAGTGAATCTCATCGGCATTAACCCTTGAGGTCTGTATTCACTTTGTAGTTTCCAAAATGGTGTGTAATGTTGTATTTATTTTTAAACCCTGCAATTATAAAGGGGAATGATTTAATCACCAGTTAAGTTTACAGCCACTTGGATTCATCCAACATGTTTCATTTTTTTAAAAAGTAAATTTTACCTTTGTATATTTAAAAAAAACACTTAATTTATTGTATTTCTGTGTTTAGGATTGTTCTAGCATATTTCTATCTTATCTGTTATCATTTTTAAATCTTACAGCATCACAGAGGATAGTAATCCTTGCAAGATGAGACGCAACAAGTATTTCCTTCAAATTTCGAATCATGTATATTATAAAGTAGAATTAAAGATAGAGAAGCAAGAGCCAGCAAGGATACCCAGCATTCTCTCACCATTCTCCCACGAAATTGAAAAATTCTGGTCTGCTTTAGTGAACAATCCCACAATATTTTAAGATTCACAGGTGGAAATTCTCCACTTGGTAGAATGGTAACAACAGACTTTGGTGAGGTGTATAATTAATGAGCAGAAGTGTCCAATGTATTGAAAAAAGAAAGGTCAAGTTACAGCTTGGACAGTGGGTAAGCGATGACATCAATTCATTGAAGGAAGAGGAGCCCCAAATTATTACACGTAGGTCCCAAATTTAAAACTTTATCAATTATAATGACAGATCTATTACTTATCAAATTTGCTTTAGTTTTCACTTTGAAGCATGATGTTGCCAGGTGGCTGATTGAGTATGAATGTAGAGATAGCATTAATGTCACACTGCCAATACTGATAGTTGGTTCGCTGAACTATAAGGATAGCCTATTCTTACAGCTCTCCCAGAACTGCATTATCTGCATGAGGACACTGGTGTAAGAATAGGCTGTCCTTGTAGTTGGTTTATTGTTTCAATGGCAATTCTAGCAACTGTGCTGTTACTGGTTTGACAGGAAGGGTTGAGTTGTCTGTAGCTATTCTTTTCCTGAATGTAGACAGTAGGGTACGTGGGGCTGGAGCTGAGTTCAGAAGGCTGGCTGCTCCTGCGGCTGTGGCTGCAAGTGATTACAATGCTGGGAATCAAAGCTGCCTTTGCCAATGTGGAATCTCCCTTCTTTGATCCAGCATCAGCTAGGCTTTCCACTGCCTGAACATGCAACAAGTTAAACATGAAATAAACATAGTGCTTCATTGCAAATCAATGAGTGATTCAAAATAAATCTTAAAGCATTGTCTACACTGAAATCTATAACTACACTTTACATCATTCATCAAGTTATCTCCCCATTGTAAAACCACATTGGCAGATTACTACAACAACTTTAAAGAGATAGTATTAAATGCCTTGGAACACATTATATTGTACCAAGGCATTTTAGCTTTAGCTGTAGAAGGATATGGAACAATATCCAATTATTTACTTGGATAGAGTATTTATTTCATTCACTATGTTGCCACTGTGTCGTCAAATGTTTGTATCATAAGGTAAATTTCAACTAAAAAATAGTCAATAATATGAAATATTCCAACATAACAGGAATGAAATCTTGCTCTGGCAGCTAATAATGACATGGTTGATTAGAATTTTGAATCAGACTACAAGAATCTACCCCAAATCCTCCCCTCCCATTATAGCAACAATGTCCCTTTAATACACTAGCACCAATTATCCATCACATGCAAAACATAAAGGTTCAGATGTTGGATTTGTTCTAGAATTGCCAGAAAGAAACATTGCAAATCAAATACTCTCAAAAAGGAGCCGCTTGAGACTGCAATCTTTATACTGTATAAGAATTGCATTGATATATACAAAATAAATTAGGGTGACATAAAGAATTTTACATGGAATTAGATAATCAGCAACAATGTAAAAGAATGATAAGTGGATAATCGAATGTCAAATGCTTCAAATGTTTCCTGCCACAAAATTACAGCAACTTTGATCTAAGATTATGATGGGAACATGTCATTTATTTTTAAAGAGTCAAGGAATTTCTCACCTAATTGACTTTTATTATTCAGTTCATCAGGTTAATGTTTGCATTTCTACTTATTATACTTTTGAAATAGTTTTACTTACGCTGGGAGGAGTTCCCTCACGATCTCCAGAGCTCATTTCCACCATTGACATTTCATCCACATCAGCATATGTCTACAGATAAACCAATTGAGATTATTCCAATTAGCAGATAGTACAGCATTCAAATTGTGACTGCTTCATACAGCTGGGATGGATATAATGTCATTGAAAGTGGAAATATTTGTCATTGGAGTACAAATAATAATAATAATTGGTAATACCAGCTCCAAGTCATTCCATTGGAAAGGTGTTAGACAGAAGAGCCTTCAGCCACTCTACCCCCAACCTCTGGAATTCCATCCCCCAATCACTCCTCCTCGCCCCCTCCTTAGCTTCCTTCAAGTCCCGCCTCAAGACCCTCCTCTTCAACCATGCCATCGGCCACCCTCCTTCCCCTCCGCTCCCTTCTCCCCCACTGACCCCTGCTCGGGTCTGAAATGCTGTACACTGTCCAGCGCCTTGGGACGTCCTCCTCCCAATGTGAAAGGTGCAATACAAATGTAATCTTGTCGTTGTGTTGCTAAGTCTGTGTGCACCACAAAAGTTACTTTAATAATCTCACCCTCGTTGACCACTAGAGGAAACATAGTGTACCTTTTCAAAGATACCGGAGTCATAACTTTTTAGTTTCAACTTGGCCTTTGTGTCTGTTGCCTCAGTTGAATCTTTGTTGATTTCATTGGAGACTTGTCTGCTGGCAGACCTGGAGTTCACACTAGGGACATCAGCTTCAGTGTCAGTCCAACCCTAGGACAAAGACCATTCACTATCAGTAAGCATTGGAGGTACACTAGATGCTGAAAGGTAAGTGATAATAAGAACCAAGCAATACAACAAAACAAGTATCTGGTAAAGCTTATTTAGAAAGAGTAATTGTGTGTTGGCATTAAAACTGAGCTATGGTCAATAGCTAAGATAGATGATAGTCAAGGCAAGTGAAGGTAGAAATAGGAATCAGAAAGTGATGAGAACTGAACGAGCTCTGTTTATGACAGTAACCAGTGAAGTTTTGCAAGGGTTTGTTCTGGTTACACTTTGTTTACATTCATTATTAATGAGATGAATACGATTATTTCTCGTAATATTTGCTAATGATACCAAACTGTGTGGACAGGTGATGAATATAAGGATAAATAACAAGATTTTAACCAATTAAGCAGGAAAGAACAGCAGGTAAATTTTATTGTAGCTAAATGTGATATAATGCATGTTATAATAAAATAATTATGCAAGTGAAAGTATTCATTAATAAGATGGAGAAGTTGAAGGATTTGTGTACAATTCTCAATTATTACCGAAAATGAAATTATTTTCACCAAGTTTAATCAAATAACAGCACACATCTCTTGTTGGGATGGCATTGATGCTAATCCCTCCGTTTTAGAGAGTGAACTATGAGAAACAATTATTTAAGATAGGATTCTTCAGTCTTGAAAAGAGGAAACTCTGGAAATATTCATGATGCTAAATGGGATTGAGAAAATAAACCGAGAACAATAATTCATGTTATAACAAGCCTGTAGCACAAAAGATCATTGTTTTAAGATTTGTGAAGGACAATTTTTGCTTGGATACCAAGAAGCTTCCTTATAAAGTTTAATCAACAGCAGAGATGGATTACCAGGAAGCATTATCAATGACTGGAGACTGAACTTGATAACGGGAAGATTGCAAGGTTGGTATTCCGGAAGTATTAGGAGATTAATGTACAAAGACCCTTACACCAAACCAGTCTTGTATTCTTGTGTCATGCGCTCCTGAGAAGATACTGAATGAGGGATTGGTTTAGAATCTAACACTATGACTATTGTTACCACCAACTTGCTATTTTAATTGAAAAGGTTCAGCTGTCAACGTTTGATTAAGCAGTATAAGATGCTCTCTTACCGACTCACTATCTGAAGCAGAAGAGAGGCGACCCTTGCCCCGTGGATATCCGCTTAAGTCAGATGTTTGGCTCGTCAAAGTAGAACGTCGAGTAGAATAATACTGGCCTGATGTCCTGGAGTCCCTACGAGAAACTCGCAACAAAAGTCCAAGGAGAGGAACGTATTTAGCAATCGCCATTCTGTAAATGAAGAACAACAAAGAAAATGAATATCTCTCTCTCAAACTATTCGTATAGAATAAGACGTGAACAAACAAATCCTAGAGCGTTGCAAGGAATTAATTATCTTACCTATATTTAGGGTGAGTGATGGCATAAATGATTGGGTTGTGGATGGCGGAGGCCTTGGCAATCACAGCTGGAATAGAATTCATGTAGGGAGTAAGGATACTAGCGTACCTAAAAATAGGCAGAAAAATACAGATTATAAGTGAAATTCACTCCAAGCTTTAGGACACGGGATTATCAGGGGTATTTCAACTTAAGTTAAATATTGATCATCTCAATCTACTAAATCTGAAGTTATCCAATATATGTACCCAATCTATGATAGTTGTGGCTTCATTCCTCATTTCAGATTTTGAATTAATATCTTAATCAATATGACTTTAATTTGTTGCTATTAAACATTGATTTAAGGATATTTAAATATTTTTAAGTTTCTGTGCACTATGATTGTAAAATAAAGAAAGGCAGGATTCCTGATTTCCCTATTTTATGCATACTGTCTTTTAGCTGTTATAATAGCATGGGAAGGAAGTCATCTGCACAGCATACTGAATTGGTTTGACTGTCAAATTTGCTTTGTTGTATGTGCCAATTTCAGACATTATAAAAGTATATGATAAACTTATATCCAGTTTTGGGGACCCAATCTTAGAAATCGGTTCCACATTAGGAAACAGCATATGCTCAGTGGTTAGAGCACTCGCCTCGCAAGTGAGAGACCTGGGTTTGATTCCCGGCAAGGTGAAATGTTGGGCAAGTTTCCTTACTCCACACATCTCTGTTTACCTGGCAGTAAGTAGGAACCCAGTTGTTAGTCTATTGGTGTATCACTTTTCTGGGGATAATAACCCTTCAAAAAAACAACAACAATAATTTGGTAACTCAATCCACGACTGTTTGTGGGACACTGCTGTGCGCAATTGTCTGCCGCGTTTTGTCCACAATATACAGCCAATTCACTTTACAGTATATCCTGTGAATCACTTTGAGACATCTAAAAGATGTGAAAAGCGCTGTATCAAATTCAAGGATTAGTATTATTATTATGTTGAGTGATCTTACCCAGAAAAGGCAGTGAGAGCCACTACGCAATATGGGGACCATGAGAAAACATAAAGAAGGATCACTAAAAGAGCAATTTTGGCCATTTTCCACTCATTTTTCATCTTCTGGTGTTCTTTGTTGCTCTCTCCTCCAATTTTCTGTACAGCACTGTGCAAAGAAATAATATGTATTTAAAGAGCAGAATGACCGGGTCAAATTGAATGGATTTCTGAGAACAGAACATGATTGTTTCCACAGCAGTTATAGATACAATTTACAAAGATAAGAGCAACATGTAACTCTGCATAGTTTCTAAGGCATTTTGCTCATCACTTAAGCATTGCAGATATAACAGCAGAAACCATCAGACCATTGCAGGCACCCTTCATACAACTCATATTTTTGAAAAATCTAGATAACATAATATGAATTCAGTTCTTAAATGACCTCAGGAACCTTGGCTGACCTTCTCCCTGTCAGCGAACTAAATGTAGAATGCCGACTGAACCCAAGACTTCCTTAATTCAGGTTCATTCTGGGAAGTGTCTTTGTCAACAGAACCTTCAGAGTAGCTAAATAAAACATTAATTCATGCAAAGTTCAGCAAGAGAGTTATTGATGACGCATTGAAGGGGACATCTCATATTTCAAACCCCCCCACCCAATAAGTGCAAGGGAGAAATCATTTTAATAGAAATTGAATCCTGCCCATTTTGGGTTCAAATGGATTCTGAACAGACTTGTTGGTAGATTTGATGGCCCGGAAGATGAAGATGTAGCAGTAGATAATGACTCCTAATGGAATGAAGAAGACAAAGCAGAAGAGAAGCATCGTGTAGGCTCGGACAGATGGTGTGAACGTCATGTAGTCCCAAGTGCAGGAGGTTAACAATCCTTCAGGTACATAGGCACCTGAATAGGAAGAAAAATAGAAATATAATTATTTGAACAGCCCCATACTGACCATCTATTAGCAACAGAAGTATTTCTATGCATCCAGAATCAGCACTGCAACAACATTCTGTAAAATCTATACCTCATCAGCTTTAGCTATCAAAATCAATACTCATAATCTGTAGAGATTTTGAAAACAAGCATGCAAAAATAATACAACATTTTTGTTTTGAAGGCTGCATCTGATTCTTAAATGGTAGCCTTGGTTTTCAAAATGATTGTATTTCAAGTAAAGCTGAGATACCAACATGTTTAGCAATATGATATAGGTCTTCATTTATTATTAATCATCTTATTTCTTTCCAATCTAGTAATCCTACAAATTAGCTATTTGCATATCTTTTAAAACGTACAAATAGTGTGGGGAACAGGGAACAGTGGCAGAGATCAGAAGCCTGCTATGTGTGTGTGTGTGGGGGGTGGGTGGGGGAGTAGGTGGTGCGGGCTGCAATTATAGTACACAAAATGTGAGATTCTCCCACCCATTGTCAGTAAATTTATGGTCCTAAGTAGGAATCATTTTCATTTATTTTGTAAAGATGAAACCAAGAGAGCTTCATTAAATTTGAAGGTGATTTTTTTTCCTGGAATATAATTCTGAATTTCTGTATTCATTTCCTGATCATAATACTTTGTTCTGTCATACTTACTCCATCCAAAGAAAGGAGGTAAACTCCAGCCCATTGAGTACAACCAAACTCCTAAAAGGATTACCATGGCTCTTTTCTTCGATATCACTCCGATGGAGGCCAGAGGTTTTGTGATAACAAAATACCTATCTAGAGCAATTGTCATCAAAGTGATCATGGAGGTGATTCCAAAGAGAGCACCACAGAATGCATACAGTTCACAGGCTGCAGAGCAAAAAAAGAGCACGGCATCACAAATTTGGGAAGAACAAAGCAAAAGTAGTAAAATCATTCAGGAGCTAGCACAATTACCTTCTCGTAACCATAGCTCCAACATGTAAATAGATTAAAAATTCATCATATTTGGTCACTAATGAATTGTAAAACATATCCAAGATTTTCATTACCCATTAGTAAAATCGCCTTATCTGTTTGGGAGTAATTGCTTCATAGAGAAGATTTATTTGGTGGAGAGGGTAGAATCTATGAGGTTTGATTTACGGTCTGTTCCAGTTGCAGGCTTGACTAGGTGAATGGGGTTCCTAGTTCCTTCATTTGCAAGTCCTAAATGCTTAGCCAACAATATATTTGTTCATACGATTGTTTGAATGCGCCTAATATATACAGTATTTGATTAACTAAGCCTGAAAGACTGTTATGATGCAGCAGAAGATACAAGTACTAGAATGCAAGTCACATGGACAGAAAATTGATATTCACCTTTTTCACCAAAGATCCAACGTTTGTGCAAACTTGTAACGAAGAATACTGGAGGTTGGGTGGCAGACATGAAGAAATCGCTGATGGCAAGGTTTATGATGAACATGTTCGCTGGAGTTCGCAGGCTCTTGCTTCTAAACAATACAAATTTACATATATATAGCATCTTTCTCGCCCTGATGACAGACACAACAATGTTCCATTGGAACACTCTTGCTGAGTTACATCAGAAATTCTCTCCACTTCTTTACTGGGTATAATGGTGAATTATATCAGAATAAATGTACAAATATGTTTAAAACATACATGATCATATGCAAGTAATTGATACTCTTCAGGAAGTTACGGACAAAAAAAAATCAACAAGTTGCAGAAAACAGTACAGAGTACGAGAGCGGGTTAATTTGACCGAGTTTTCCTCAGAAAAAACACATGTCGTATATTGTATTTCTTTTGTGAAAGGGTTTCTTTTGTGTTCACCTAAATTAAAGAGGCCAGCCCTCAGGATTGGAACAATGACCATAGTTTATATTCAGCATCCCATCGAGTATTTGTGATCAGCCGTAACATCACATGTCAGAAGCAAAGTGAATCTCGCTTTGTTTTTAACTGAATAACATGCATTAACGTCAAACTCGGAAAGGTGCCATGTACTGACTTAATGTGATATTTTTTTTTCTACAGAAACCATCCTTGTGTTTGCTGTGAGTAGGAAGGTCACATTGGTATGAGTGTTACGTTATCAATAATTAGTGCTTCTGGACTCGCATCGATTGAGAATTGGGTTGCGTCTATCCAAAATCTAAAATCATAGACAAAGCTAACAATGAAGAGGCTTTATTCCAGTCCAAGATTTATTTGCTCAATAATGAAGGTGTAACAACTGACTATCCTGCCTAATCTCTTTGGTATTCTAACAATTATCAAGAGCCATAACATACAATAATCACAAAAAGTATATCTAGATTGGGGGAATAAAGCATGTTATTTTACTCCACTTTGCATTTTTTTCGAAACAGCAATATATTTTAAACACTGACCTCAGTAAATGATGCCTGAAGAATGCAATGGGGGCATACTAAGAAGTTTTTCGTACAGACAACAACACATTACATTTATAGCGAACCTTTTATTTTAAGAAGATATTCAAAGGTGCCGGACAATGGGGGTCGAGTTCTAGAGGGTTGGGGCAGAAAGGCTGAAGGCCCGGTTTCCCATAGTGGAGCAGGTAGGGCAGGAGATGTGGAGCAAGCTTGGTGCCTGCAGAGAGCTTAGGGGCAGACAGGTTGGTGAAGTTTTAGTAGATGGCAGAGGAAGAGTGGAGAAACACTGTGGAGGGCTTTAAAGGTGAGGACTAGGATCTTGAACTGGAAAGACAGAATAGCAACCTTGTATCTAATGGAAACATGCTCTGCATTGAATAATAGGGAGTTTGTTGCATATACAGTACCTGCAGAAGGCATAGACAACCAGTAAGTTGCCCACCATACCCGTGATTCCCACTGCTAGAATGACTGCCCCTATGGTATAATGGGCATGATCTGGTACATCCACTGTGGGGAAAGCATGATGGTAATGATGACCATCTGTCACTGGAACCGCCTGTAAACCAGAGAGAGAAAAAAAAATTATCCACAAAGTAGGTCATGTTCCAGAGGAATGAATATTGCTTAAGCTCTGCCATGGGTGCCATGAAGCTTTAAAGCTTAGTTCTTGCTAGGAAGCTTGTTTTAGAAGAGCAGTCGTATTGAACTGACACTAATGTCCATGGAAAGAGCAGCATAAATCCATTAGACATTGTGCAGTTCATAAAAATCGTGAGGATTCATTTATTATGAAAAATAGGTACATCCGACCAAAATGAATCGATTGCTGCTTTCCACTGTTTGGACCAATCAATTAATTCATGTTGTAAAAGGCAATAGGGGGAGGATAGAGAGAGGGGGGGGAGGGGGGGGGGGGGGGGTTCAGAAGGATACAGATAAAAAACAGATTAAACATTCATACAAGATAAGTAAGGAAATATACAGACACCAATAATACCGAGACCAAGGGCTATTTTTTTTTAAAAAATCAGGCAGACACGAATCTCGTATTAAGAAAAGTGAAAAGATGGATAGGAAGAAACAGTCAGATAAATATCCTGTCACAGAAGTCGATAGATAGACATCTAATCGGATTAAAAATGGAACTAGATTTGAAATTACTGAGTGTTTGAAATGAATGAATGGATGTGACCCTGGGAACATATGGAACATTAGACACAGAAAGCACACAGACAATGAGTGGACAGATACAGGAATAGTGTGTAGATATATCAGTTTCAATTTACTTCGTCAGATAACTGAGATTGCGTGAAAAAGTAGGCAGAACATTGAATTAGAGAGTTGTAGTTTTAATGGGTGACATCGAAAAGATTATATCACATGAATACACAGACAACTGTTTTGTTTTGAACCCAAGACAAACTCAAGAGAAAGCAACGAAATCAAGTGCAATGAGCACATCACCAGCAAGAGGACTCGCTCATTCCTGAATTTAAAGACACTGAATATTAGTGGCGTTTTTTTTTAAAAAGCTGAGCAGATAATTCCTACCGTGGGTCTGAATGGAGACAGATCTACCAACTTGTATGCACTTCCAGAATCATTCCACGCGACCATCGACTCAACGATCCTACTGCAGTTGGGATCCTGAGGGGGGCACGAAATCCCTTTCCTGATGGGATGAACGTTCATGTTTAACACAGCAGTTGTGGGTCTTCCCACTCTCAACCCACCCACTCCCTGATCCTCGCCAAAGTAACGTAGAGTTTAGCAGCAGATCGGTCTTCCACAGATAAGGGATTAGTTCCGCTGCTGACAGATGTTTGGCTGAAAGTGCTATCTGATAAAATGGAAGCTACTGATTGACCGACTACTTTTGGCCAACGTCAGACACTCTTGGTGATGGTGGTGGGGGGGGGAGAGGGGGAGATGGGGGGAGGGGGAGGGATGCCCTATAGGGCGTTCAATCCATGTTATGTCTATTGGACAATTCCAGGCTGGAGACGTACTGCAAATCTGTAGCTGAACCCATTTTATTTTACATTTGACACACTACTGGAGTTTGGAGTTTGGTGTTACTTAACTGGTCCTTTTGTTGCTCGGTGCCATAAATCATTTTGATCATTAAGTTTTGTGCAGAAATGTGTGCTTTCAATTTTAACTAATTCCTCCCAAAAAAAATCTGCGTTCCAATAAATGCCCCCCCACCCCCAACAGATAAATGCACATTGATAATAAACAGGAAGATGTCTAAAACGTAAGAAGTGCGTGACATGAAGAATGCAAACTTAGGAGCAAAGAGAACAACGTGGGAAGTACCGTAGAACTATAAAGAAGGGATTCTGTTTAAGGTTTGCTTAATAGGTGCGTGTGACTAATCATCAAGAAAGTCTGTATTCAAAACAATGTGGACCAGTCAAGCAGAAGCATCAAGGAGGACCAGATGGATTTCCTTGCAGGTAGAAAGCCAAATAATTAGTAAATAATTAAACAGTTGTAAACTGCGAGTTTATGCATTCTAAACTGATTAAAATTACTTTTTTATGTGTAATTATCAACAATAAGCGCTGCTTAAGTGTAAGGTAAAGCTTTGCCCATTCTCCAATATGCTTTAACCTCAATCTCACAGTTCTCCTCGCTACATCAATCAATGTAACATTTCGACAGCAGCTTGTGCTGTCCTCACATTAACCAGGAACTTTATACTGATTGTCCTCAAATTAATTTCACTTAGCACCCTCATAGCTATCAAAGAGATGGATTTGATGGATGAATTTTGTCTGGGCTGAATTCAAACTGAGGACATAAAGATGAAAAGATAGCGTCCTAACCAACTGAAGCATTCAACCGCTTAGCTTTATAGAGATAGGCTTCCAGAATTTATGCTGGTGAGAGCATTACACCAGAATTTCACAGTTATTACCAGGAGCCTTAGACAACTGAACTAAACGTCTGCATTGAGCATTGTAAAACTAATGGAAAACTAATTGCTAGCGTGTTACAAGCTGGTGGAACTACTGCTAACTGAAGGTCATATCTAATACCCTCAGGATAATATTTTCCACTTTCACACTCAGCTACTGGCAGTGTTGCGACTCGATAATGTTCCAATCGATATTTGGTTTCATTAATTCATTTGTAAAAGAAAAATAAATGTTTTCATCTTGAATGAATTCCTTTAGGGACACTGACATTTTTTTTCACAAAGCAACACCAGCAATGATAGAAATTGATTGCAATTTTCTGATATACAACAACTGCAACATTTCCAGTAACTACAGAATTCCTAGGAAATTGAATCAGTTAACGGAATGGAGATCATCGACAGCTAATGGAAGTAGCTGAGAGGCTGGTGGCTCATTTGAAACATCAAGGTCTAAATTCCTTTCCTTTTAGGGTTAATTCGCCATTCTTTAGAAGCCACATCATTTCAAAAGCTTTTGAAACCTGTTAGAAACGCAGCTCAGATATAATCGTTAGGCAGTGTGAATCATTTTTGCAGTTATTTAAGGATCTTTATTAAGGATACTTCTTTACAAACAAATGACCATTACATTGTGATATACAAGTTATTCAGGATTCATTCTCTTTGCCCTTTCTCCGCATAATTACAAAAAAAATGCAATTGTACTGTATGATTCTATGATTCTACAATGAAGATGTCCTTTGGCATATCATCAAAAACCCTATTCAACCCATAGATATTGAAATTCTTCCATTGAAATGCAACAAAGAATGAAAATTAGGTTTCCATGTTAATAATAATAATAAACCTTGCATTTAATAATGCACGTTAGCTTAATTATTAAGAATAAGTTTAAAGAATATTAAAATAGGTTTACAACAAGTATTTTATGTTGGTTTAGAAATATTGACACATGTTCTTTGTTAAGTTTATACCTACCTGTGGTTTGTTGGAATGCCAGAAGCAGAATCACTGACAGTACATTGATTCCATCTTGCTATTTCCCTCTATGGGAAGACTGCCTAGCCTTTACCAAATGCCTTTGTAGAAGCAACTGAAATGGAATACCACAGATAAAAATATGCATCCTACCACTCTATGCTATATAGGTGTAAAAAAACAAGGAGATCAAAATACTGTTCAGTGGAGATCAAAATTTCATCAAACAACAAATCCAGAAATTCTAACAATAACATAGATTTTAACCACCATGAAGGAAAAAAAGAGCAACTGACATATTTGTCTATCTCAGCTGGTTTACAACCCAAATTATAGTCATCTGATGTATTGCATCTCACAGTCTCTCATCAGGGAAATTATGTTCACTCTTCTGTTTGTAATATGTTGACGCACAAGTCAAAGAAATGAAAAAGGACACATTGTATACCATCCATTTTCCGAATCATAGATAAAACTACAAATCTATCAGTTTGTTCTACATTTGTACTCATGACAAGTTTTAAACTCAATCCAACACCAAATCAGATTAAAGATTTAGGAAATCTGCATTTAAGAGGAATACGTTGTTGTATTAAATGATTGGGATGTTTTGTAATTGTTTAAGTGTTATGGACGGCAGCAACACAGGATTATTGGCATTTTCTGAGATGTTCTCCGGCAGAGTAGCTTCTATTTGATTAATCCTACATGTGGTTAATTATCCTTCATAATTCTTGCTGATAATTAGTTTTCGAATTTCAATAACAACACTTCAAAGTCAATTGGTTTATGGGACATCAGGAGGTTAAAGGGACTGATAATCTAATTAAAGTGCTTTGCCTCCAAAGGAAATAATTAAGCACCTAAAAAGTATGTGGAATATATAGATTCTTCACACACATTTTAGGTGTACCCTAATTTGCGATCTTTGAAATTCAAGGTTATGATTCAGATTTTTGTCTACCCTCCTGTTAATTATTCTAGATTTTACTGTTGATCTTTTCTATTTAGAGTGCCATGCACATTTGAATATATTCATATCAGATGCACTGATTAAAATGTCTCAAAGGGGATAATAAAGCATTGTCCCAGTCATTATTTGAACCCCTCAGTGGGATTACCTTGCATCTCTGAACGCCAATGACTGGAACCTCAGTTTACTCAGCCTCTATTCACAGTTAAATCCTTTCATTCCACGTTTCAACTGATGAACTTCCTTCAAGGCCAATATATCCTTCTGCCAAATTTGGTATAGCGCCTTATCATGTCGGAAGGACGTCTCAAAGTGCTGCACAGGATTAACTGTGAAATGGAGTAACAATGTATTTCTAGGCAAATGCGGCAGCACACTGCCCCACAAACAGCCCAGAAATCCTTGTCCAAGAATATAATTCTTCACAGTTGACTGGGATACAAATGAATGAACTGTAAACTCTGGAAACATTTTAAATGGAGGTTAAGGGAAGAGTATAAAACAAAGGGGTATTTAAGAAAATCTCAATTATAAGAGTCTCATAGAAATTACATATGTGGTCAGCCGCATAATTGCAAACCATCCTATGATTCATTGTTTAAATACCATATAATTTATTAACAAAGAAAGAGATAAATTGCTTTAGTTAAAACAAAACAAAATTGGTTTGCCAATGCTCAGTGTGCTAAGTACTAAACACAGAAACAATTGAGGAAATGCGGCTGAATAAAAAAATGTTCAACCCTTTCTGTAGCTATAACCTAAATATAATGGATCTCTTTATACTGTTACCGCCCTTCAAATGTTTTTAAAAGTGTTGGCTGAGAGAAACTTCCTTCTCTTTTGAAATAGAGTCAAGGGATCATTAACATCCAACTGAACAGGCAGATGGGACCTCAGTTTACTGTCTCATCTGAAGGGCAGGACCTCCAGAAATGCAGCATTAATCCCCAGGACTGCAATTGAAACATTAGAATATCACTGCACCAGGAGCTCAAGTCCCAACATGGAATTTGAATCCAAACCTTCTGACTCAGAGGCGAGAGTGCTATCAACTAAGCCAGGCTGACACATTTAGCTTACTGTGCTGTTCCTGGTGACACCTTACTTAAAAGGTTGTGCATAAGAAATGACAACAGCATGTTTGAAGGCAGAGGAGCAGAAGACAAGTTAAACAGGTACAGCTGTGGTCTGCTCAAAAAAGGCGGCTCTTTATTGTTGTGGTTGCATGGTGGTGGTGAACTGTAATCATCGGTTGATCCTCAGCCAAATCCAGCAAAATATTTGCAAAAGCTGCACTGAAAAACATCAAATCATTTTAAACCTCCAATGTATTTTTAACTTTCTCATTGGATGTCAGAACCAAAACAAACATCCTGAGCTGCAGGTTCTGTGGGTTTTTCCCTGCTTATACAATGAGGCAGCTTCCTCACTTAGCTTTTCCTTGTTAATAACTGGAAGATTCTGGATCCCATGTCATACAGAAAAGCGGAGGTTCTTCACAACAAGTGAACTAATGGTTTTGTTTGCAGCTTGAATAGAAGTACTCAATCTGGATTTTCCCTAATACAAAATATCAGCTTTATTTTACAACAGCCACTATAGGAAGGATGTTAAGGCATTGGAGAGGTGCAGAGGAGATTTACGAGGATGGTACCAGGAATGAGGGACCTTAATTATGAGGAAAGTCTAGAGAGGCTGGGATTATTCTCATTGGAGCAGAGGTTATGAGGAGCTCTAATAGAGGTCTTCAAAATCATGAGGGGATTTGATATGTCAGAAAAGGAAAAACTGTATCCATTGGTGGGTGTGTCGGTGACTCGAGGTCACAGATTCAAAATAGTATCTAAAAGAAGCAGAGGGGAGGTGAGAAGAAATTTTTT